TGACAGAGTGAGACTCTAACTCAAAAAAAAAAAAAAGTGAGAGGCCATGGCTGGGCGCAGTGACTCACGCTTCTTATTCCAGCACTTTGGGAGGCCAAGGCGAGAGAATTACCTGTGCTCAGGGGTTTGAGACCTGCCTGGGAAGCATGGCAAAACCTCGTCTCTACAATAAATCAAAAAACAAGCCAGATGTGGTATAGCATGCACCTTTAGTTCCAGCTACTTGGAAGGCTAAGGTGGAAGGATCTTCTGAGCCCAGCAGGTCGAGGCTGTGGTGGCCGTGAGCATGCCACTATGCTCCAGCCTGGGTGACAGAGTAAACTCCAACTCAAAAAAAAAGTGAGAGGCCAGTCTTCTCCCTACTTGGGGAGAACATGCTGACCCCATAGCTCTGTGGCAGGGTGGAGGGGATGTCCAGCCTCCTCCAGCTTGACCCTGTGGCAGGATGCCTTCCCAGGCCTTGCCAGTCCCCAGGAGGCAGGTGTTCTGATGATCTCTGCTGGGCAAGTGACAAGATCGGCACAGAGGAGTTAAGTTCCTCTTGAGGCCACCTGGCCAATGAGTGGCAGACTGATCCTTGCTCCCCATACCTCTGCCCCTCCTGGCTCCCATGACCTGATTCCATTTCTTCCCACGGCTCACAGACTCCCAGCTACTTCCTGGGGCCACCGTGTCCCCTCCTGGGGCCACCGTGTCCCCTCTTTGCCTTTCCTGCAGATCACACAGCTCCTGTCCCCTGTTCCTTCTGCTCCCAAGCCCAGCCATTCCAGGTGGTACTCCCCTCAGCAACCTGATTAGCTCATGAGGTTGATACCCCAGACCACAGCCTGGGGGGCTGTGGAGCACTGAGTCTTTATTTATTTTCTAAATTTTATTTATTTATTTATTGAGTTGGATTCTCACTCTATCACCCAGGCTGAGGGCAGTGGCACGCTCACGGCCACCGCAACCCTAACCTAATTTTTTTATTTATTGTAGAGATGAAGTCTCGCCAAGTTGCCCAGGCTGATCTCAAACCCGTGGGCTCAGGCAGTCCTCTCACCTCAGCCTTCCGAAGTGCTGGGATTATAGGCATGAGCCGCTGTGCCCAGCCTTTTGTTTTTTTATTTTTTAAAGAGATGGTGTCTAGCTCTGTTGTCCAGGCTGGAGTGCAGTGGTGCTATCATATCTTGATGCAGCCTCCTGGGCTAAAATAAAGCAATCCTCCCACCTCAGCCTCTCTTGTAGTTGGGGCTACAGGTGTGTGCTACCACAACTGGCTAATTTGTTTAAAAATTGTTTTGTAGAGATGGGGGCCTTACTCTGTTGCAAGGCTGGTCTTGAACTCCTGGCCTCCATGTGATCCTCCCACCTCAGCCTTGTGAGCACCTGGGACTACTGACATGCATCAACGTGCCCGGCGAGTTTTTTACTTTTTATAGAGACGAGACTTCGCTCTGTTGCCCAGGCTGATCTTGAACTCCTGGCCTCCTGCGATCCTCCTACCTTAGCCTTCCAAAGTGCTGGGATTACAAGCATGAGCCCCCATGCCTGGCCACATTGAGGTTGTACACTTCCCTCCTGACACCTAAAGTCTGGGGCTGAGAAAGCCGTCATGCTGGAGTGATGTGTGTGGGTGGGTGCACGTCCCCATTCAGGGCCTGAGGGAGACAAGGTGAGGCCCCAGCTTTCTAGGATGGAATAGAAAATGTCCCATTAACCCAAACCAAAAGAGTTGATGAAATATTGTGAGAAACTAACTGGGAACCTCAAGTCATCGCTGTGTGACCTGGGACAGATCGTCCCTGTTAGCCTCTTCCTGTTCTGTACAATGTGGATAATGGTAGTGACCTTGCTGAGTTTTATTGTTGTTGTTTTGCTTTGGTTTTTTCTTTGAGCTGGAGTTGTACTCTGTCATCCAGACTGGAGTGCAGTGGTTCACTTATGGCCACTGCAGCCCTGACCTACTGGGCTCAAGTGGTCTCCCGCCTCAGCCTTTCAAGTGGTTGGAACTTCAGGCATGCACCACCATGCCCAGCTAATTTTTTTATTTATTGTAGAGATGAGGTCTCGCCAAGTTGCCCAGGCTGGTCTTGAACCCTTGGGCTCAGGCAAACCTCTCACCTCCTCCTCCCAAATTGCTGGGATTACAGGCATGAGCCCCATGCCCTGTCTTGCAGAGTTTCTGTGAAAACACTGACGTAATGCCTGAAAAGCCTAGGGCACAGAGCTTAGCCTGTAGCAAGAGCTCCACTAGCCCTTCTTATGAGAACTCTCCTCTGCCCCCACTGGAAGGCGGGAGGGGGATGGAGATGAGGGTTCCTGGTGCCAGCTGCCCAGCCTGATTCTTCTGCAGGTGGAGCTAAAGGCTGGGAAGGGGGCCGGGGAGCGGACTGGGCCCGACTGGAAGGCAGCCCTCCAGAGGGAGCGTGAGGAGCAGCAGCACCTCCTGGCTGAGTCCTACAGCGCTGTCATGGAGCTGACGCGACAGCTGCAGGTCAGCGAGCGCAACTGGAGCCAGGAGAAGCTGCAGCTGGTGGAACGGCTGCAGGGTGAGAAGCAGCAGGTGGAGCAGCAGGTGAAGGAGCTGCAGAACCACCTCAGCCAGGTGAGGCCTGCCCTTGCCTGCCAGAGGTGGGCTCCTTCAGGTATAGCTGGATCTAGGTGCTCATCCCAAAGGTCCAAGACTGTAGCTCTTTCAGGAATAGCTGGCTCCAGGAGCTTAGAGAATGTAGCAGGAACTATTTCTTCATGCTTCAGTCTCTCAGGCCTGCTCTCCTCTGTGTTAACTCACTCTTTTTTTTTTTTTTTTTTTGAGTCAGATTCTCACTCTTTTGCCCAGGCTGGAGTACAGTGGCTTGTTCATGGCCACGCCAGTGTCGACCTGCTGGGCTCTGGCGATCCTTCCGCCTCAGCCTTCCAAGTAGCTGGAACTACAGGTGTGCACTACCGTACCTGGCTAATTTTTGTTTTATTATGGAGATGAGGTCTCACCAGGTTGCCCAGGCTGGTCTCAAACCCATGGGCTCAGGCAATCCACTTACCTCAGCCTCCCAAAGTGCTGGGATTACAGGCTGAACCACCAAGCCTGGCCCACTCTTTTTTTTTTTTTTTTTTTTTTTTTGAGTTGGAGTCTCACTCTGTCATCCAGGCTGGAGGGCAGTGGCACGCTTCCGGCCACTGTAGCCTCGACCTGCTGGGCTCCGTCGATCCTTCTGCCTCAGCCTTCCAAGTAGCTGGAACTACAGGCACGTGCCACCATGCCCAGCTAATTTTTTAATTTATTGTAGAGATGAGGTCTGGCCAATTGCCCAGGCTGGTCTTGAACCCGTAGGCTCATACAATCCTTTCCTTTTTTGTTTTTTGTTTTGAGTTGGAGTCTCACTCTATCACCCAGGCTGGAGGTTGGTCACAAACCTGCAGGCTCAGGCAGTCCTCTCACCTCAGCCTCCCAAAGTGCTGATCTTATAGTCATGAGCCACCACACCTGGCCTCAGGCAATCCTTTCATTTTGGCCTCCCAAAGTGCTGGGATTATAGGTATGTGCCACCTCGCTCAGCCAGCTTCACTCTTAAGCAATGGCCACTGTTTATTTAATGCTCCTATGTCATGTCTTAGCAACAGCAGTGGATAAGGTTCCATTTCCCCAATGCTCTGATTGGTCAGTTGGAGTCATGTGCCCACTCCCAGAGCCTCCCAAAACCCAGAAACCCAGAGGGAGGGACTAAGAATGGTTCCCATGGGGAAGTTGGAGTCCTCTGGCCAAAAGGTGGGAAAGAAAAAGCAGTCATTGATCATTCTGCCCTTCCAGTTCCTGCCATGCACCAACTGTGCACTGCTGAGCTCCACTCGCCATTGTGACTTTTTCCTGTTTTACTTTTAATGTTTTAGTGTTAATTACATCAATCAGGGCTTTTTCTTTTTTTTTTTGAGTAGGAGTCTCACTTTGTTACCCAGGTTTTGTCAGTTCTCATGATTACCAATCTGTGAAACATCTGCCCATCTTAGGGTGTAAAATGCTGTCTCATTGTAATTTGCATTTCTCTGGCTTCTAGTGAAAGGGAGCATCTTTTCATGAGCTTAGTGATTATTATTATTATTATTTTTTGAGTTGGAGTCTCACTCTGTCACCCAGACTGGAGTGCAGCCACTGCAGCCTTGACCTGCTGGGCTCTAGCGATCCTTCCGCCTCAGCCTTCCAAGTAGCAGGAACTACAGGGGCGTGCTACCATGCCCGGCTAATAATTTTTTGATTTATTGTATAGATGAGGTCTCGCCTGCCCAGGCGGGTCTCGAACCTACGGGCTCAGGCAATCCACTCACCTCAGCCTCCCAAAGGTGCAGGATTACAGGCTGAGCCACCAAGCCCAGCTAGTGATCATTTTTTATTTCCTCTTCCTAGTATTTTTTTTTTTGAGTTGGAGTCTCACTGTCACCCAGACTGGAGTGCAGTGGCACACTCCCAGCTACTGCAGCCTTGACCTGCTGGGCTCTGGCGATCCTTCTGCCTCAGCCTTCCAAGTAGCAGGAACTACAGGCCCACACTACCATACCCGGCTAATTTTTTATTTTATTGTAGAGATGAGGTTTCGCCAAGTTGCCCGTGCTGGTCTCGAACCCGCGGGCTCAGGCAATCCACTCGCCTCAGCCTCCCAAAGTGCTGGGATTATAGGCTGAGCCACTGAGCCTGGCCAACAGAATGTTTTTAAATGGTTATGCAATTATGATACAAGCTCTGTGTCATCCTGGGAAACATACCCGCCCACAGGTAGGTGCTCTTGGCTCATCAGGGTGGAAGCTCCGTGTCCTCCTCCCATTTTCATATCAGGGCATCTTGGTGGAACTTGCTGGCCCTCCATTCCTGGCTGCCTGTGTCTGCTGACATTACTCTGCCTCCTGCACGTCACCTCAGGTCTCCCAAACAGCATACCTGTTTAGACTGGAACTGATAAGCCAGCCTGGCGGAAGCAGCAGGCAGAGGAGCCTGGGGGGGAAGCAGCCTCTGACCAGGAGTCCCCCGTCCTTACCTGGTCCTACCAGGTTCAACCCTGTCAATGGCCTCTGATCTCTGGGCCTCATCTGTAATATGAGGATGACCATACCTGGCCTTCTCATCTTCCAGGGCAGCTGTGGAAATAAAAGGAGATAACCATCGGATACTTGGGGGTGATCCCATGTGCTTGAGGGCCCGCCCTAATTGAGGCTCACCTCTGTGGGCTTCCTCTGCCATCACTACCCCCTCATGGTCATGCTATTTCATTGCTACTCTCACCACTATGTATCTCATTTCGGTTCCTCAGAAGCAAAGTCTGAGACATCGACTCCAGAGCAAGTAAAGCTACCAGCCCATCCTGGCCTGCCTGGGACTGAGAGTTTCTGGGACTTTTGTTTTAAAACTAGAGCTGTCCTGGCTGTCGCCTTCCAGTTTTTTAGAACAGAGGTTTTCTGGGACATGGAACTTTCAGTGCTGACACTGAGAGAGTCCTGGGCACACCAGGATGAGCTGGTTACCCTGTGCATGAGCGGCTGTTAAGGGAGGGAGGAAGCTGGGTCAGGGATGAGAAAGAAGCCAAGCAACAATATGTTTTCTGGTGACCCAAACAAGCTCAGGCATGTCTATAGTAAATTACCCCACACACTTTGGTCCATCTTAAGACAGGGGTGGCCTTCTGGGCCAGCCTTTTGGCCCCCCTGCCTTTATCTGTCATTAGCAGTGACTGCATTCCAATGTCCAAGGTGGTTCTTCAGAGAGAGCTGCAGTGTCAGGTGGCACAGATGGGTCACTGAGCCATGGGATGTCCTACCTCTTGGTGCTGTTGTTGCCAGGAATTCAGCAGCCCCACCCTGGGCACGTTCCTCCGCTTCTCTGTCTTGATCTTCTTATCTGTAAAATGGAAGCAGCCATAGTAACGCCTTCCACGTGTGATTGAGCACCAAATGGGTTGCACCACGTGGCATCTGGAGGTGGTAAAACTCCAAGAGGGGAGGGAACCAGAGGCCTCCTGGAGGGTCAGCGAGAAGGGGTGCTGGATTTGCTCACAGTGGCCACCGTGATGGAGCAGGGCATCTGGGTCTTGTGTTTGCCACCCTGTGTGCTTTGCTGCTTCGCTGATCTAGCCCTCCCATGAGTTAGCACAGTCATAACCCCTATCACTGTGTTGGATGGAAGGACACCTAGGAGGGTGCCTGCAAATAGTGGCTTTTATCATCCTCTTCCTAATCCACCTTGTGGGGACTCTGAGCTGCTGTCCACTGAGATGGCGGCCCCTAGTCCTGGGGAGTGGCCCTGCTCAGAGCAGGCCCTGCTTCCCAGCCTTGCCTGCCACTGACCTGCCCTCTCTGCCCTTGCCCAGCTGCAGAAGGCTGCTGACCCGTGGGTCCTGAAACACTCGGATCTGGAGAAGCAGGACAACAGCTGGAAAGAGGTGAGTGGGGCAGCAGCTGCCCATGTTCTCTTGGTTCCTGGCTACCTTGGAAAGTTCCCTGCTTATGGGAGACATGACAGGAGGTTGCTAACCCTCTCCCACAGATCACACCCTCCCACCCAGGCTCCTCAGCCCTAGGGTCTGCTTCCCTTGGTTCCTTCCTGTAGTCTGGGACTTGGGAAGGGTCTGCCAATGGCATCCTTCCACATATGGGAGAAACCTGTGGCCACTGTTGGTTCCCACCGTGCCCCTGTGAAAAGCAGGGTCTTTATAAATAGCTGTGTGACTTTGGATAAGTCACTCTCTCTCTCTCAACCCCACTGGCCTCACTGGTAAATGAGACTGATGTTTTTGCCTTCGCCCAGCCCTGAGAGTGGAGATCACGGTACGTTGGTGAACTTTGCACGTAGCCCCTGGTTCATTGTCCATAGAGCAACACGTGAACCAGTGAGCAGGGAACATACGAGCCCTTTGCGCTGCCCCATCTTATCCCCGTGAAGCAGCGCATCAGTCAGGCAGCTTGGTTGTAGTCAGGTACCAATTCTGGGGAGCTGAGGCAAGAGATGATTTTCCAGGGGCTCGAGAGGGGCGGATGATGCCGTTAGAAAACCAGTGCAGGTCCTGGGGACTGTGCCTCTGGACCCAGGGTGGGACGAGCCCAGAGCAGTAGCTCCCAGACTGCTGCTGTCACCACCAACTGAGCCGTGGGCCGCCGTGCACTTTACTGCTGCTGCCATATTTGACCTCTCTCTTTCCTTGGGGGGGCGTCATTCTTGGAGCTCTGATCGGCCTCGCTTGGATCACAGGCCTGTAAAGGGGAGTTAGATGTGGTGCAGCTGGAGACTGACCTCCAGGCATTCAGCCTTGCCGATGACGCTCTGCCTGCTCTGCAGATGAGACTCAGGTGTTGCGGTCTGGGGTTAGTTCCCATGCTGGCCTCCTGTCACCTGCCCTCGGTGACATGGTGGCCAGCACTGAGCCTTCCCGTTTTTCTTCCCGGACAGACGCGCAGTGAGAAGATCCACGACAAGGAAGCTGCTTCCGAAGTTGAGCTCGGGGGATCCAGCTTAAAGAGGTGCTGGCATCCTGCCCCACCCTGCGGCTCCGCCCCACCCTGCGGCCCAGCCCCACCCCTCGCCTCTCTTCCTCCCTGTCCCATGTGCCACCACCGAAGCTTATCTGAGTTGGGAGAGCACCTCTGCAGCCCGGGTCACTCAGGAGTGGAAGGCTTGGGGCGTGGGAATTCCAGCCTGCAGTCTGTTGTTTGTTTGGTTCTGGGCAAGGACAACAGGCCCCGCATTGAAGCTGTTGAGCTCCTCAGGGATTCTCCTGTCTCTGGGTGAGGAGAGTCGAGATGGACGTCCACCCTTGGGGTTACTGAGCAGCATCCTTGATCCCAGCCCTGCACTGGGGCCCTGACCTCCAAGACTGTGAGAGCCGTGTTTCCACCATTAGGAAGCCCATGGAAGGAGTGAGAGGAGCAGAAGCCCACAGGAGCCATCAGAGCAGCCCAGAGGCGAGGCGGGCTCTGGGGTGGAGGGGGGCCTGGAAGTCAGGGGGCAGGTCGGCATTCCAGCCCAGCCACCTCTGTGACCTGACCTTGGGCAGCACTTCCCACCTCCATAACCAGTGCTGCCTTCCAGAGACGTCAGAGCGTTCCAGCATGTGTGATGCACGTCCATGTGTGGGCACTTTGAGTCACCCAGGCAGCACGTGTACTGAGTCTGTGCTGGGCGTCTGTAGCACCTTAGTTTGGGTTTCCCCAGAAGCACACCCTGAGACAAAGATTGAAATGTAAATGGCTTATTTGGGAGGAGATTTCAAGAAATACCTGCAAGTGAGACAGGGATGGGAAAACAGCCAGTAAAGGGGGTTCCAGTCGAGTTATACTGTGGGCAGCTGGAGCACAGTCTTGCCAAGGAACACGGGGGCCAGTGGAGAACCCACAGCTCGAGCATCCCACCCAAGGAACAAGGAGGCGGGGTGCTTGCTCACCAGATCCTGCCCGTTCTTTGTTGAGGGCTGTGTTTAGGGGCATTAACTCTGCTCTTTCTAGCCTCCACGTGGAAGCCAAGGATGATCCCCAGGCAGAAGACAAACCCTCAGGTAGAGAATGGCAGGGGTTCAGAGCGTGCAGGCTGGGGAGTACAGGAGAAAGTGTGGAGAGAACTGGGCCAGGCCCCAGCAGTGTCTTCTCTGAGAGGTACCGAGCCAGTTCTGGTCTCTGCCCTCCTCGGCATGTGGCCCAGGGACGTGGACCAGCGTGTGCACTCAGCCTGTGTTATTTCCACTGGTACCACATGTCCTCTCTGTCTTCGCAGGACCAAGTCTGTTTCCTCCATGTCTGAGTTTGAAAGCTTGCTGGACTGCTCCCCCTACCTTGCTGGCAGTGATGCCCGGGCCAAGAAACTGCCCAGCAGCCCCACCTTTGCCTTTGTGAGTGCTGAACCAGTGGACCCAGAGAAAGATGCCAAGGAAAAGCCCGGGCTCTCGCCGAGGGACTGCACCCGCCTGGGCGCCCTGGCTTGCCAGGACGCCACAGGGAGGCAGATGCAACGCAGCTACACGGCTCCCGACAAGACGGGCATCCGTGTCTACTACAGCCCCCCGGTGGCCCGGCGCTTGGGCGTCCCCGTGGTGCATGATACGGAGGGCAAGATCATCATTGAGCCTGGCTTCCTCTTCACCACTGCCAAGCCCAAAGAGTCAGCTGAGGCTGACGGGCTGGCTGAGAGCGCCTACGGCCGGTGGCTCTGCAACTTCTCCCGGCAGCGCCTGGACGGAGGTGCTGGGGCCAGCCCCTCTGCATCCGGGCCTGGCTTCCCCACAGCCCTGCATGACTTTGAGATATCAGGCAACATGAGCGATGACATGAAGGAGATCACCAACTGCGTGCGCCAGGCCATGCGTTCAGGCTCACTGGAGAGGAAAGTGAAGAGCACGTCCAGCCAGACGGTGGGCCTGGCCAGCGTGGGCACACAGACCGTCCGCACCGTCAGCGTGGGCCTACAGACTGACCCCCCTCGCGGCAGCCTCCACGGCAAGAGCTGGTCGCCTCGCAGCTCCTCGCTTGTGTCTGTGCGCAGCAAGCAGATCTCTTCCTCGCTGGACAAAGTTCACTCGCGCATCGAGCGACCCTGCTGCTCACCCAAGTACGGCTCACCAAAGCTGCAGAGGCGGTCCGTGTCCAAGCTGGATGGTGCCAAGGACCGCAGCCTGTGGAACCTCCATCAGGGCAAGCAGAACGGCTCAGCCTGGGCCCGCTCCACCACCACGCGGGACAGTCCTGTGCTGAGGAACATCAATGACGGCCTGTCCAGCCTCTTCAGTGTGGTGGAGCACTCGGGCAGCACAGAGTCTGTCTGGAAACTGGGCATGTCTGAGGCCCGGGCCAAGCCCGAGCCTCCCAAATATGGCATTGTGCAGGAGTTCTTTCGTAATGTGTGCGGCCGGGCGCTGAGCCCCACGTCGGCAGCAGGGGAGGAGAGCACCAGGAAGCCAGAGCCCCTCTCTCCAGCCAGCTATCATCAGCCCGAGGGCATGGCCAGGCTCCTGAACAAGAAAGCAGCCAAGCCAGGCGGCTGTGAGGAGGCCAGGCCCACCATGCTCCCCCAGGTGGGGAAGGACGGTGTCCTCCGGGATGGAGATGGAGCCACGGTCCTTCTCAATGAGGTAGGTGGGTCGAGTCTGCCCTTTTTCTTGGGAGGTGGGGTTAGCTTCTCAGGTCTAGTGTCTCGTCTCAGCCATATGGTCTTTTGGTTTTTTAACTCAGGGAATATGATCATGTGTCTCTAAGAGCTCTTATGCTGGTCTTAGATGGGGTTGGGCGGTCCCAGACCTGGAACAACACTGACCTGATGGTCACATAGCATGAATACCAAGAGACTAGTGACCATGACTTCACTAGTTGCTTTGCCACTGCATGCTGGAGACTGCCAGCCTTCCCTCAAGAGAGGGGTGTGCCCACCCCCTCCTGCCACCCAACAGTACACTGGAGCCAGCTTGTTTGGCTTGTGAGAGCCAGATGTCAACGTCTGTGTCTAATCATGTGACCTTGGTACCTTGAGACAGGCTACAGTGGGAAGATCTGCACCATAATAACTGGCAAATGCTACAGGTCAGGGTTCCTCCCCTCACTCCTGGAAAACTAGTTCCCAGACATCACCCAGCACGCCACGTCCCTCTCCAGCAGGACTTCACTCCTGAGTGCTCACATTTCCTCTGAGGATCTTTTGCTGCACACCCCATTGATAGCAATTTCTGATAAGTTAGGGAGTATTTGAATGTTAGAAGGATGCTTCCAGGTCAGCTCTGCAGAAGGGAAAGGAAATGTCTCTGAAGGACGACAGGGTGTCTTGCAGAACCCGAGAGAGGCACCAGAAGACACCAGCAGCTTCTCCTTGGCCTCCTCCGCTTCCTTGAGTTTCATATTCTCTGAGATCTCTTCTTCCTCCTCCTTTTCTACACCGCCCCCACCCCCATTCTTGCATTTGCACAAAGGTCCCAGATGGTTTTAGAACATCTTCCAGCTCAAGCGCCTGTAAGGGACTGATTCAAATCCCCCTGTCCCAACTTCCCGTTTCTGGAAGAAAAAAACTGATTGGGCCAACTTGAGTCAGGTGTATCTCTTGGTCCAGTCAGCTGTGGCTGGGGGTGGTACCATGTGGTCTGCGGTGGACTTGGTGGGGGCACAGAGATGTGAGAAGGGCTGTGTATGGGATGGGCTGTGGCTGACCCAGAAGGTCTGCTTCCCTGGTGTTTTTTTGGGGGTCAGTCTCATTCTGTCATCCAGGCTAGAGTACAGTGGCAGGAGATCCTTCCGCCTCAGCCTTCCAAGTAGCTGGAACTACAGGCGTGAGCCACCATGCCCAGCTAATTTTTTTTAGATTTATTGTAGAGACGAGGTCTTGTCAAGTTGCCCAGGCTAGTCTTGAACTCAAGGGCTCAGGTAAGCCTCTCGCTTCCACCTCCCAAAGTGCTGGGATTACAGGCGTGAGCCACTACACCCAGCTCAAATTAGTTTTTCAAAAGAGTTGATCCAGTTTTTGTAACTTACAGTAGTGTGTGGTGAGTGCTTCACTTTTTTTATGCTCTCTCCCAGCTGGCTGCCTTTCTTTTTTTTTTTTTTACTTGGAGTCTCATTCTGCTGCCCAGGCTGGAATGCAGTGGCACACTCACAGGCACCACAGCCTCAACCTGCTGGGCTCAGGTGATCCTCCTGCCTTAGCCTCCCAAATAGCTGGAACTACAGGCATGCACCATCACGCCTGGCAAATTTTTCTTGATTTATTATTGTAGCGATAAGGTCTCGCCAAGTTGCTCAGGCTGATCTTGAACCCCTGGGCTCCAGCAGTCCTCTCACCTCCACCTCTCAAAATGCTGGGATTATAGGCGTGAGCCACTGCACCTGGCCGAAAAGAAATGTATTATATTACTAATAAAAATTACTAACATTTGTTGAGTGTTTAATAGGTACCATGCCAAATGCTTTACATATCATATCTGATTTGACTCTCATAACTTTGAGAAAGTTATCATGTCCCTTATCTTAGAGAGGAGGAAATCAAAGGTCAGAGAGGTTAAGTAACTTGCCCAAGGTCACACAGCTAGTAAATATCAGAACTGGGATTTTTTTTTTAATTCCTCTTTTTTAATATATATTTATATGTATTTTTTATTTTAAAGATGTGGGGTACAATTCAGGATTAGGTACATAAGTGGTCATTGTACAGGTGAAGCAGGTACATTTATTAGTGTTATGTACCCCCCCTCCCCAGCAGTGACCCGCTACTACCATTCCCTTTCTTGTAGTATTATGATAAATGTTCAGGATCTGCTTGTGAGTGATAACATGTAGTACTCAGTTTTTGTTTCTGTGATAGATTACTGAGTATAATAGACTCAAAATCCATCCAAGTTGCTGCAAAGTCTATGATTTTGTCCTTCTTTATGGCTGTGTAATATTCCATCATGTATATATACCACATTTTAAAAAATCCAGTTCACTTTCAATGGGCAGCATGGTTGGTTCCATGTTTTTGTTATTGTGAATAGTGCTGCAGTAAACATGCATGTGCAGGTATCTTTTTTGAAGAATGACTTGAGTTCCTCCATGTATGTGACCAGAAGGGGGATTGCTGGATCATATGGAAGGTCTATTTTTAGGTCTTTTAAAAATCACCACACTGTTTTCCACAGAGGTTGTATTAATTTACACTCCCACCAATAGTGTAGAAGTGTTCCCTTTTCCCCACATCCTCTCTAGCATCTGTTGTTTTCTGAGTTATTACTGATGATGACCATCCTGACTCAGAGCTGGGATTTGAACCAAGAAATCTGGTTCTATCGCAGCATTTTTTTGTTTTGAGTTGGAGTCTCATTCTGTTGCCCGGGCTGGAATGCAGTGGCACATTCACAGCTACCACAGTCTCGACCTACTGGGCTCAGGCAATCCTTCTGCCTTAGCCTTCCAATTAGCTGGCACTACAAACACACACCACCATGCCTGGCTAATTTTTTTTATTTATCGTAGAGATGAGGTCTTACCAAGTTGCCCAGGTTGGTCTCGAACCCCTGGACTCAGGCAATCCTCTCGCCTCAGCCTCCCAAAGTGCTGGGATTATAGGTTGGAGTCACTGCGCCTGGCCTATAGCAGCACTTTTAACCATTATCTTTAATGGAAATAGTAAAAAATTAGAAACTACCCCTGCATGTCAAAAGTGAACTGGAGGGCCAGGTATGGTGGCTGACGTCTATAATCCCAGCACTTTGGGAGGCTGAGGTGAGGGGATTGCCTGAGCTCATGGGTTTGAGACCAGCCTGGGCAATTTGGTGAGATCTCATCTCTACAATAAATAAAAAAAAATTAGCTGGGCATGGTAGCACATGCCTGTAGTTCCAGCTACATGGAAGGCTGAGGTGGAAGGATCGCCTGAGCCCAGCAGGTTGAGGCTGCAATGGCTGTGAGCGTGCCATTGTACTCTAGCCTAGGCAACAGAGTGAGATGTCTACTTAAAAATAATAATAATAAAGGTTGGGTATGGTGGCTCAGCCTGTAATCCCAGCACTTTGGGAGGCTGAGATGAGATAATTGCCTGAGCTCAGGGGTTTGAGACCAGCTTAGGCATCTTGGTGAGACCTCGTCTCTAAATAAATCACAAAACCTAGCTGGGCGTGGTGACATGCATCTGTAGTTCCAGCTACTTGGAAGACTGAGGCAGAGGGCTTGCCTAAGCCCAGCAGGTTGAGGCTGCGGAAGCCGTGAGCGTGCCACTGCACTCCAGCCTGGGCGACAGGGAGTGAGACTCCATTTCAAAAAAGAAAAAGTGAATTGGATAAGTCATTTTCATTCAGTGGAATGGCATATACATACACTGTTAAAACAGAAGGAGATCCAGATATGCGTAGTGACAGAAAAGCGTTTATGTTTTACAATGGCAGAATAGCTTGAATGGAGTCATTCTGGTCAATAGACGTATGTGCAATGTGTTGAGAATCTACCTTCGATGTGTAGGACCCTGGCCAGTGTGCATTCTCTGCTCTGGGTGGTCCAGAATATGTTACAATGAATATCTAGTATTGGTCTAATGGGAGAACATCAATAAAATGAAACATGGGTCCAGAGAGGGACTACAGGCCCCTGGGAAATGAGGGCACAGCTGAATCCTGACGCCTTGCCTGGCGGGCCGCCCAGCCCCATCAGCCTGTGCCTCCTGACTCTTGCCTTTCTCCTCCCAGGATGCTGTTTGTGACTGCAGCACGCAGTCTCTCACCTCCTGCTTCGCCCGGCCATCCCGCTCTGCTGTCCGCCACTCTCCTTCCAAGTGCCGGCTGCACCCTTCAGAGTCCAGCTGGGGCGGGGAGGAGAGGGTGGCCCTCCCCAGCGAGTGACAGAGGAGCCGAGCTCCCCGCCTCAGCCAGCCCAGCCCCTGGGTAGCAGAAGGGAACCAGCAGGGATGGGGTGAGGGGCCGCGCCCTCCGTGATACCATTGCCGGCGAGCAGCCGTCAGTCAATCAAGGTAAAGCCGCGTCTCCTACTGACCACTGGGTGGTGAGCCCCAACTTCCTGGGGGAAAGGCAGTGAGTGGGAGAAAGAACAAACCTGGGCTTTGGAAGCATCCACAGAGAGAGGCCATCAAGAGCGGTTCATGGGTCCCAAGGGAGAGCTCTGCCTGGTTCTGCCCTCACCCACTTCTTGGGAGAATGCTGGAAGGGTGCACTTCTGACCATGCCCTCAGGAAACAGGGCTCAGAGTGGTATTCCCTGCTGATCACATACCCCTTCCCTGGGGAGGAGACCCTGTGCAAAAGAACAAGTTTTGCTCCAGGGCTCCACGTGGGTTCCCTGGTGGACCCAGGCTGGGCATCGTCACCATCACCTCCCCCGCTCCGGCGTGTCTCCTCCCAGCCCCGCTGCTCTGGGTTGTTAGGACTCCAGGGGGTATGATAGGGCAGATGCCAGGGCCACCAGTCTGCTTGGAACCCTGCGGCCCTGGATCTCCCTGCCCAGAGCCTGATGCAGCAAGATGGGAAGGTGAGGCGGGATGTGTAGGGCTCAGGACTGGGAGCTGTTAGAATTGCCTCCCTTGCCAAGGCTACTCGGAGGGCCCAACCTTCCCAGCAGACTCTTTGAGGACAAAAGGAGGGAGAGTCAGGCTCAAGACCTGGTGCACACGTCAATGCCTAAATGCCCACTGCCTTGATCTTGGGGGCCTCTTTCCCTGGCACCCTGGGAAGCTACATCTCCACTGTGTTTACACCCTGCAGCTGGTGGGGGGCAAAGATAGTCCCAACAAGAGACTCCCAGATGGCCAGGTCAGGCCAAGGAGAATGCCAAGAGGCCTGTGCCCCTAACAAGCAGTAGACTGGGGCCCGGAAACACATTTCTTGCCGAGATTGTTTATTTGAATTTTTCATACTATACATATTTAAAATGGTTTACTTTATTTTAATAATTTAATTTTACCCCAAAGTCCCTAAGGTAATTTATTGGAGGTTGAGACATGTATTCTTGCTGCTGGGACAACGTGGGGCTTCTGATGGCATGGACAGGCTGGGGTCCCCCACGTGGATGAGGTGGCTCAGCAGCCAGGTCTGGAGACCACGCTCTGCTCTGCTGGCCAGATTTGGAGGGCCCCTCCACAGAGCAGGAGCCCTCACCCCAACACTGCTGACCACGTGGCCTCTGAGCACTGCTTGTCGCTCAACAGCTGGCACTTGCCTGGCCCCAGCCGTCAGTCTGTAAAAGTTCACTGACGGGGCGGAAGGCTGGACTGCTGCCACTACTCCCAGACATTCTCTATTTCCCTTCTCATTTTCCTCTTCCTCTGACACCTTTGTCAACAAACCGAACATGGATCACTGAGGCTCTGTGAAGAGCATGGCGATCCCTTCAAGTTGCCTGAGTGAGAACTCGCAGGAACAGGACTGAACTCTGAGAATGTTTATTGCACATAGACCTGCGAGTGTCGACAGCCTGCCCTGGTTCTCACCAGCCCGCCAGCCTTCTCACCAGCCTCTCTCCTTAGCCTTACAGCCTTTCAGGCTCTGTTCTGGCCCCAGCTCCACTGCCCACCCTTCCCCCTATCCCAAGGGAGCTGCCCGAGCCATCAGTTGGATTGCGGTGTGGCTTGTCGTGTTAGGGGGAGGAGGGCCTGCCATGGCCTTCCCCTTGGTGCCAGTGAACCCTTGTTGACTGCACACATATGCATACAGATGCCCACACACACACAGATGTGCGACCCTTCTGGACCTGACTGGGGATCCTGAGTTGGAAACACCATGATGGATCTGCTCGTCTGCAAAATTCCCCATCAGGAAGACCACAAGCCAGCAGTGTTGCAAGTTTGCTCCAGGACGAAGGAGATGCTCCTGCACTCCGAGTCCCACCTGCCAGTTCTCAGTCCCACCCTTCCAAGGCCCGCCTATCCTGTAGGCTAAATGTCAGGGTCCTGTCAGTCCTACCAGCCACACAAGTCACTTGACAGAGTGGGCAGGCAGTGGAGCTGTGGGCCGGTTGACCCCCCCCCCCACTTCCCACCCTGTGATGCCACTGCTCCCGCCCAAGAGGTCAGGGGGCTTCCAAGGTTATCTCCAGGTGAGGCGATTCCTACCAGAGGCCTTCCACCACCTTCCAGAGCTGCAGAGTGCCTGAGAGGATGCACCCTCAGCCTTGGGGAAAAATCCCGTGAGTCCTGAACCTGAGCCTGGAGACCACTCAGCCTTACCATCGTCCTTATCCAAGGTGTTCTTGCCATCATCATTGTCTCAGCACTTGGCCCCCAGCCCCAGCCAGGGTCAGAGGCTCCAGACCTGGGTTTTCTGAAGTCCCGGTTTCTGCGTCCTGCGTGCCACTGTACACGGCCATTCATCAAAGTTCCTGCAGAAGCCTCTGGACTCCGGCTAGATGGGGCTGAAAGTGTTACCTGTAAATATCGGTTTGCTTTGGTTTTTAGCATTTTACTTGGTAACGTGTGTTTTCTTTTTTGGGGGTGGGAGGGTTGGTTTGTAAAAACTCTCTACTCTTTTGGAATGTGATTTCTAAGTTTGTTTGTTTGGTCAAATGCCTTTTAAGTCTTGGTAACATTCCCAAAGCAGAAAACTGCCTGACCCACAATGGGAATTCCCGTAGAGAACTGGGGTCCCAGGAAGGAATGCTGCCCCTTTCCCCTCCTGCTCCTTCCTCCTGCCCCTCTACCTTTTAAAACCCAGTCCCTTCCCTGTCCCCTCCCCATCCTTCTTTCTCTTTTCCCCATTTCTACTTTCTCTTCAACCAAAGTCCCAAGGGCCCCCGGGGGCCCAGTCCCCTATAGACCGCTCGGCTTGGGTCCATGGGGTTGGCCCCAGTTGGCTGGGGGAATTGGGGAACCAGTTAGTATGACTGACTCAAAACTGAACATCCTCACATTTCTTCGGTCTGACCTCTTCCCAGAGCCAAATTAGTCCCTTCCGGGGCAGTGGTGATCATTGGCATGAAAATCCACACACATCAGTGCATCAGTGGCTCTTAGGCCCCCACGCACAGGACTTCAGAATCCAATTCCCTTTCCCCTTGCCAGCTCTTTCCCCCCAGTTTTTCCCCACCAAAGGCTGACCTCCAAGAGGTCTTGCTTTCTTTTTTTTTTTTTTTAATTTTTATTGTAAAGATGTGGGGTTAGGTGTACAAACATTGATCATGCAGGTACCCCTGTTAATGAGGTATGCCCCTCCCTCCCCTAGCAGTTTCCCTCAGCTGCCAGTCCCACCCCCCCTCCCCAAGGTCTTGCTTTCTATGAGCTTCAAATGGGCCCACCCCTTGGCGTCCCTAGGACTGCTCTTCTACCGCTGGCCTCTTGAGTTGCAAGGTCAAGGGCCCCAAGCCTGGATCCTCTTAAACCCTGATGCCAGATGGTCCATTGTGAATGCTTCCATCATACCCCTTCCACGGTTTCATCACCCAGTCTCTTGTTCTCTTGCCCACCCAATGTCCAGGCTCTTCTCCCTCTCCCTTCCCATCTGGAATATCCCCTCACTTCCAGCCTCATCAGATCCTATGCTCCCACTACCTCTTTGTTAATGATAATAATAACCCCCTGCACATCTGCCTAGAGCACTTTACCATTTAGAAATCACCTCTCCATCCCGCCATCTCCTCCAGACCTCTCAGGACAACCCTGCGAGGCAGCCTTGGCAGGGCACAGGTTAGTGCTCATTTTACAGATGAGGAAACTGAGGGACAGGACTCACCCCAAAGCACCCAGCTGGAAAGTCATCGAGTTTAGATGAGAACTTGGGGCCGCTGGATTCCCCAGCCCAAGTCTGTCCTGCTTGCTGTGCAAGCCCACTGCTGGGGGTTTGCGTGGACACAGGACACCCAGAATATGCCACTGGCCGACCCAGATATGAAACAGGAGCATTCCAGATCACTGGACCTGTGTGTTTCAGGAGGTGGTCTGCGGACTCCTTCATCAGAATCCTCTGAGGGTTAATTCAAAATGCAGATCCCTGGGCCACATCTGAGCCAGGAATCTGCATGTTTAGCCATTGGCCACACAATTTGTTTTCACAGTCCTGACCACCAAGCCACTTTTAACCAATAACCATGATGCTGGATCTTAAAAAGAGCACCAAGCTGGAACTTAAGGGACCAGGTCCTCAACCACACTTTGATTTGTTTAGTTACTCTGAGGATTTCCGGAAGACATCAGAGGCAATTTACAAACTCACTTATACATGCTTAGTGAGATAACAAAAATAGAAAGTTAAAAAACAAGGCAAATTATTCTCCAAACCTACCTGGTATAATTTTGCTTAATTATGCAATTAAATTTTACTCATGAGTTTCCTGGCAGCTGTGGTAAAATGAGAAACACTCCAGGATTTATCAGTCTCATCATCCAATCATGGGAAGCAAGCATGTTTGCCCCAGGAGACAAAAACTCTCCTACTACTAATTTATAGCATAAACCACTGAGTGAGTTGGTGTTTCAACAGATGAAGCTAAGATGCAAGAATGTTTTCCAGGTGACTATTTTTAAAAAATAATAAACTGCCATTAACTTGAGTGACTTTGGCCAGATCATGTGGGCTAGTCTATGCTTCAATTTCCCCAGATTTAAAGTGGGGATAACGTCCTACCTCACGTATCTGTGGCGAGGACTACATACAATACTGTGCCTACAAGTCTACTTGGAAAAGCATAAAGTTTTATACAAATGTAAAGGGGTCCGATCACACCCGGTGTCCCCATGCCAGCCTCTCAGTGCCCTAGCCATGGAGGGGAAAGGATGATATCCCCCTCACTCCCTTCACTAGTCTTCATGAATAGAAAGGAGGCTGTAAGGCAATCAGGACCATCCCCTTCCTTTTAAAAAGTTGTGGCAAAACATATGACAAAATTTATGGCTGGCCTTGTAATTCCTGCACTTTGGGAGGTTGATGTGGGCAGATCACTTGAGCCCAGCCTGGGCAACACAGCATCTCTAAAAAAAAAAAAATTTTTTTTTAATCAAGAAGAGACCAGCTGGGCTTGGTGGCTCAGCCTGTAATCCCGTGCCTTTGGGAGGCTAAGGTGAGTGGATTGCCTGAGCCCGCAGGTTCGAGGCCCGCCTGGGCAGCGAGACCTCATCTCTACAATAAATCAAAAAAATCAACTGGGCGTGGTAGCACATGCCTGTAATTCCGGCAAC